TGTGTGTGTGTGTGTGTGTCTCTCAGGTGAGGCCCCAGGTAGAGCCTCTTACCATAAGTACCATATTCAGCTGGGCTGGTGCCTGGGTAAAAGCCTGGGGTGCCTGCTGGGACTGGGTATTGCTGGGGTGTGGCCACGTAGGTAGCTGACCGGTACTAAGGAAACCAACAGAAGGGAACATGGAAGATAAGACGGAAAGAGAGAAACAAGAAAAAAATCATAAGATGGTGATAAAAATGCATCAAAGTGTCAATCAGTCCACCTCAACTTTTCAAGTGTTTACTGTACGCTCAGTGGTTTTACTGCTTGTAAAAAAGGGCCACAATTTATAAGCTTCTGATAGTCCCAAGCTTGGCACGTTGTTACGGAGGCAGGACAGTTGCTATGACAATGCAGATACTTTAACAAGAACACAACTCAGCCACCAGAACAGGACATGGAGGACATAACCTAGTTGATGAGAGAGCGGATTTAGTTGGTGTGTATGTTGAATGTGTGTTTCATCACGGGTGATGGGTCAGGTCGTGTGAATTAAATTAATGAGTCCCAGCGGATCTGGATTGGACTTGGAGATAATTACGGGTAACAGGTCCGTTCCAAAAAAGGGACCCATGCAGGACGTAATACTTCCTGTCTCCAATGTATAGAGAATTTATTCCAACACTGGGTGGATAACAAAGGCTTCATATTTACACAAGCATAAAAAGGAAAATGATTTTCTTCTCTTTCAACTTTAAAAATTAAGTGTGTCATTGTGGTGTGCCATGTCTGCTCAATTATTTACACCATCTGGTTCGTGTATAAGGACAATCTGGCAGCGTCAGTAGCTAAAAACAACCCAGTTTGTGCCCCTACCTGTCCCGGTATGAAGTAGGCGGGTCCCTGGGGCGAGCTGGGGAAGGGCAACTGTTGCCCAGGGATCATCATCATTTGCGAGCCAGGGCCTGGCTGGTACACATGGGTGGGCGTCACGGGTCGAGGGGCATTGCTGGGAGGGACACCTCGCGGCCCACTACCAGGAGGCAAGCTGGCCCTGTTGGTGTAGTAGGGCTGGACAACAGGGAGGTGAGAATAAATAGTAGTGGAAAGGTGAGGATGGAGATTAAGAGACATAGAACAAATGTAGATGATAGTGGGAAAGATAAGCGAGAGGTGAACAGGATGAAAGGAAAATGTGGGGAAATTAATGGGATGAATTAGGTAGAAAAAGGAGACAAAGTAATGAGGGAATTATTAGTTATCGTTCTGAAACCTCTGACATAAACATACTCCTAGTACGCTGAATTGATTTAATCTCTTTGACCAAGTGGAGGTGGCTTGTCCAGCCTAACAGCAAGGCTTAAAGTTTGTCCATGAATCTGTGGCTACACTCCAACTGGAAACATATTGGGCATGTCTGCCAGGAGAGATAAAGCAGCTAATGCAGGTTCATTCAGAGCCTCCTCATTGACATTCTGCTGCTCGCCTGGGAGCTAACCGCCGTAGCCAGCGCAATGACACCAAGCCAACAAAGACCAAAGCTGCCAAATATTAGTCACACATATATAAGCACTTCTCAAGCGGATGAGGGGAAAAAAGAATGAAGGAAAAACTGGAAGAAAAGGGATCAGTTACCTGTAGCGACCTGAAGCTTCCCTTCAGCAGCAAAAAACACAGATCACACACAGACACACATCACATAGAGGCAACAGGAGGGTGGGAAGAGAAGGAGTGAGAGAAAGAACACCATCATCAGTTAGAGAAAGCCCAGGAACCATCCATTCTGAGCCACGCAGTGAATTAACAAGCAGCATGCAGACAATAGGCAGAACATTGTCTCCTCATAAACTAGTTCTAATTCGTCTTGAATAACATTGAAACTAAAGCTCATTTAACAATTAACTGGCTAATTTAGCAAACAAATATGTTGACCAACATGACGGTTGGTGCAGCAGAGGAAAAATGATGGGGACGGCAGGGTTTGCAGTTTGGTATTTGGTTTCTGCCGATGGGTAAATCCAGATATTAGAATCAGTATTGGAACATCTCTACTTGGAACCTGTAAGTATTTTCATCCAAGAAAAAATAAAACCCATGCATCCAATCCCTGTCATGTTAGTCACTTGTGCTGTTAGTACCTGTTGGTGCAAAGGTCGGGGCCCTGGGGCAAACTAGAGGAGGAGGAGAGGCAGACATAGCAGAGGTTAGAAAAAGCACAAGATCCATGACAGGGTTCTGTCAGTTCTGTCAGTGAACGGCCAAACTCATTAACAGTTTCCTGACCATTATAGCGGAGAGGCACGCCCACTTTCTGTAGAAAACGTTTTTTCTTTCATTTGTTTTTGTCACCTGTTTTCCAATTTATTTACAGTATATCCATCTTATTTAAACAATTTGAAGAAAAAAAAAAATTTAACCCGAACAATACAGCAGGACTGAATTTAAATACTCTGAGCTACTTGCATTTACTCCTGCATCAAGAGGTAGAAGAGAGAAAAGAGTTTAAACCATGTAGGTAAGGCCTGTGCGAGCATGTAGCACACTAAGATGTTAGAATTTGTGAGGCATATAAAGGGCAGGCTGACTGACAGCTAAAATGGTGCAGGACTGGTGAGAAGCAAACAAACATGCAAATGTTCTGAGGAATAAAAAGTCTGTACACTGTGTTTTCTGCTGAGAGGATTTCAGATAGCGACAGGGAGCAGCAATTATGCAAAACTTGCACACATAAGCAGTATGAAGAAAAGATCTTAATACTTTCTATCCAGGCTTTTTATCTGGATTGGTTTGTCTGAGATTTCTCTGACAGAAGTGGCCCTCACTTCTGTCAGAGAAATCTCAGACAAACCAAGGAATTACAGAAAACAAAACTTCACTGAATTATACTATAACTTGAGAACTACTGTCTCTGATATGTAGGGTGGAGTATTGGGGCCAAGTAAAGGGGGATACAATTGGAGATTTTAAGAATATGAGAGAAATGTTGTAAATTTACCAAAAATAAAGTTGTGGCATTAGGAGAGATGTCTTAAATTCACAAGAATTAAAGAACCACACAGAAAATACCTGTTTTAAAGAGAAAATATTTGGTAGTGGTTAAAATTTCCGATTTTATTTCTAGATATGGCCCTAGTACTCTGTTGTAGATATGTGATGGAAACAGTTTTTTTCTGGGATGGACTGTGTGCTGCAGGGTTGGGTGAACAGTTGGCAGGCCTACCTGTCGGGTCTGTGGTGTTGGGTTCATTTGTGGAGGCTGCGGGGTTGCAAACACAACAGAAGGGGGCTGCCCGGGGGGGAATGAGGGCTGCAAGAGACAGGAAGTGATATCAACAGCAGAAGAATGGGATGCAGGAGACCCAGGGAGTAAGTGGGATGAAAGGTGCACAGGTACTGAGGCCAATATTTGTGCTCAGGGTATTGTTCTGATATGTTTTCTCATGATACCAGCATCTTTTCTTTTCCAAGTTAACGGTGACCTAATCTCTATAAATACATTCTTACAGAATCTGCAAGGGAGGGACAACATTTTGGTGCTGGGTTCTCGTTTGAGCAATTATGTTTGGGCAGGCTTTGGTTGCCCGCAAGTAAACAGTCTGTGTGGAGAGCAAAAGAGATGGAACACACTGACTCAAAGGCATCGACTATCAACTTTTTAATTCATATGCATTCATGTGCAGATAGCTGTTGATAGGGATTAGCCAAAATGTCATCTGGACCTAAAATACCTATAAAGAGTATCACTGTTTGTGTTTTGTGTGGAGAAAAATTTGACTTGTATGGAAAGAAACTTGGACTGTAAACAGTGTATGATGACAAGAGGACTGAGTCTTGCGATGATGTCTACATAAGCAGCCCCAAAATATTGTCCATTGCCCCCAGACGCTAATTCAACATCAGACGATAGGGCTCCAAGATTGATGGTGAGCAAACAAAGGAATTGAAAAACACTGTAGCTTGAGTAGGAAGGGTTAAACCCTTCGGAATTGATTGTACTCCTGCCCTCTTAATTTAAAGAACCACACAGACAAAGGCGTCAACCACAAGCTTCATCATAGCACAAGCTACACTGGCAGCTCGCTGCATTACTTCTGACAATTACTATTGAGTGCAAAGACTGTGTGAGTGGGTGTGTAACCCTTCCCTATGTGGCTGCTGCTGTAACCCTTCCCTACCAGAGAAAGTGCATTGTTGTGTGATCTGTTTTTCATTATGTGTTACAAGAGCCCCTTTTTTTTTTTCCTCTGTAAGAAACAAAGTGGGACAGAGCAACACGCCCTTCAAGAGCCAGTGAAGATAGTGAAGAAGCATGGATCAGTACCTGAGACAGGCCAGGGGAGGGGGCCGGGTGGGGGACGGAGGGGAGTCCCGTTATAGGTTGTGGTGCTTTATTCATTTCATGGAGTTCTGCATGGGGAGGCGGATGTGGACCTGTGTACAAATCTGCAGAAAGAGAGAGTGGGTCATAGGTTATAAAAATAACCAGTCACTTCAGAAGTTGTTGTCTCATTCAGCACGCCTGCGACACTGGGCGACAATGTAGTACAAATTATAGCAGGAAGAATTGACTAGACTAAGGGGAAAAAGCAATGGTTTACTTCCTCCTCCTTAAACAGAGGGGTAAATCCAAAGCTGATATTTCCTGTTAGTAGTCACAGCTTATATACTGTACTTACAGTTAAGAATCTTTTAAGGTCCCAGGTCTGGTTACACTGAGGAACCGTTTTTCCTACAGGGAAGACAGAAGGGGAAACCTTGTTACCAGAGAGCATATCATAGCACACTTCAGTTTAACTTCACAGCATCTATACTGTTTTTACTTGAGGGGTTACTCTGCAGCATTTGAAGACAGATTTGTTCCTCCTGCAGCCCTGGTATTGTCTCATACCTGTCTTCAACAAATCAGTAGCATTCTGCCACTCTTCATATGATTCTTTGTTGGAGGGGTCTCGTTACTCTACCTTCTCTATAGATATTCTATAATCTCAAATCAGGAAACATAATTACAGGTGGTTGATTTATGGTCAGCACAGTCTGACCTAAACTTTATTTTGGGTTCATCTGACCAAAGAATATGCTGCCTACTTAATGTCGTCTGTCACACCCATTCAATAATTAATTCACAGGGTAAAACCAGATGAGTATTATGAACTGTACCACAAGAACAAACTAAGTTCTTCAGTTAAGTTCCTGCTCTGGATAATATTTCACCAAGTGAAAAGTGAAAACATGTAGTTCACATTATTATCGTCAATTTAGCCTAAAGGGTTTCCGGGTTCAGTTCTATTCTTATGACCAGAAAGATCCATTAGAACTACAAAGTATTTGAATTAGGTCATTTCCTGATTCCAAAGTAATCATCGTCCTCAGGTTTTAAAGTCCTTGTAATAGTGACACATTTTGTATTTATAGCCAAAACCCACATTAACTCTACCACTGAGTCATGCCCCATGCCCTGACACACACGTACACACACACGCACGCACGCACACACACACACAGAGAGAAGCAGCAGTGTAAAAAGCCTGAGTCATGATGAATCAGGGTGTTTTTCTTTTTTCAAAGAAGAGGAAATCACGCTGCAGAAAAGGCTACAATCGTCATGGTTACCATGACTATATCAACACACAAACAAAAGGAGACTGAAAGACAATGGGTTTTAACTGAGTGAGGGTTTCCATACAGCCAGATGAAATCTCTGGCTTACAAAAACACAGTTACACTGATGGTCGGCTCGTCCCCACTGGAGCCTTGGAGCTTAGAGAATGGCAGCACTGCGAGAGAATGAAATGCAAATTCTCTGCTATGTAATTGTAACTTAATCATTTGAAACTGATCTAAGACTTTTTCAAATAAAATAAAAACGGAGGTTGTGACACAAAGAGGAGTGACACTTCAAAGCTGATCGGCAGACAGAAAGATTGTCAGACTGAGCAGGGCTGGCTGGGAGATGAAATGCTGACTCAACAGTCTCAGGGCTAAAATAGGGTCTAAGACTAACAACCGACTCTACCTCTGAGGCTTTACTACTCTTACTGGCAAACTCACAACTCAAAAACCTTAAGTTGTTGTTGGGGAAAATGATTTTAACCTGAAGGAATGACACTGAAGGAATGATTCTTGAAACAATGATTGCGCCACTAACACACCACACAGAATAAGTCTGCAGAATTTGAGCAAAGTGTGTAACGAGTACAAATTCAGGATACAGCCTGCGGAAATAGCAACGAGGGTTACATCAGAGCACTTCATTTCTGCAGGAATCTGTGTTTTAGGGGGAGTTATTCGAGCAAATGCAAGGCACCCCTCACCCCACAGCTAATCACACAGCCCAGTCATTTGAGCTGGTCTGACATGCAGAATCACTGAGATCCAGCCACCAGCACCACCACTGGTAAAACATGCTCATTCAACTGTTGCATAACCCTCTTCATGCACTGCCATGACCCACTGAGGAGCAGAGGAGGAGAACATTTTGTAAAAGAAGTTGGCTATCATGTCACCTACAGTAAAGCGGGTGTGAATTTACTACTGTGTGCCCACACATCATTTATATTCATGCATGCTCAGTGCAGCATTGTTGTTAAAAGAGGTGCTCACTGTTTTTCCCAATACAACTGATGCTGAGAGATGAACCAACTTTACAGCCTGGTCACAAACGTGAAGAAAAAGGTAAATGTGGGTTCAAGGTCTGCAGCAGATTTCAACATACTTTAAAAAAGCAGTAACATACAAAGACCACTATGATTACTCAGATTTTACTCAAAGTCTTTTGCCCCTTACTTACACATTCAGTAACTCCTCTGTTGTTTACAGCTCCATGGCCTGCAAGCTGAAATGTCAATCCACAGAACCATACCGTTGGCTGTGGTAGTAACACAGTGACACAAAAACCCCCAGTGGTGGCAAGCTTCACTTAACTCTACTGGATCAGTTTAACTGTAAACTACAAGCTCACATTTAGCTTACAGCCCGTTATGTACAACAGAGAGGCATTTTTGCTCAAACCTTCACGAGGAAACAAGTCAACAAACAAACAATTTAACCCTGTATTCAAATTCACCAGCCTTAAGAGAAGGGAGTCAGACTTATGTACACTAGCTAAAAGGTTTTTGTAAAATTCCACTGACCTGCAGGACAATTGTCCCAATCAAAGCAGTTGGAACCAAGATATATTGAATTTAACTCCATTGTGCAGAATCATCTCCAAAGACACTGAATACTACATTTCCAAAAGATGCGTCCTAACGGACCCCAACATGAGGTAAGTCTGTCTGGTACGTGTCAACCCCTTCTAAACTCCACACTCACAGTGTGGCAGATTTCAGTTACAACATGTAAGTGTTGCTGTCTGCCACCAGCACTGGTCAAAACTTAAAAACTGAAAAGTGTTAGTGACAAACACTTCAGTCAGACATTTCAAGGCGCGAGGGACGCACAAACTGAAAGCTCAGGACCAGTGACACAGCATCGCACCAGTGCAGCCTTGTTCTGCCCGCCCATGTTACTCTGTTTTACGAGCACTCTGCCAAAACCCACACATAACCAGACTCCACTTTTTCACGACAGGAAGCTGAGCAGTGTCCTCATGTCAGACAAACTGAGACACCCTGCGTCTGACAGATCATGCATTTTGTCTTATGATGCTTTATTCATTTCTTCTTCTGGCTAAAGCTGGAGTGGTAAACTGAGACTCGGGGTGGACATCTGTCCATTGGAGCTATGTTGTCCATTAGCCATGCATAGTTAAAAGCATCCATTTTAGACCAGCATTCTCAGCAGTAAGGTCACAAGTCTGCAGCCTCAACACCTGCCACATGCCTTCTGCAGCGAGCAGGGTGAAGTGATCCTCACCAGGGCTGAAACATGAACATACCCGCACAGTCGCCCTCTAAACAAACAATCCTACAGTGGTACATGTCTGAGGGCAGGTGGCAAGATGATCATCCATTGGTGTAACACCAGAGGCTCTGCACTAAAACTGTGTGCCACTTCTGCTGTGACACAGGGGCGTGTCTGGCTGTCTACTCACGCACACAACGAACTACCAGCAGTTATTTCCAAGGCATTGAAATAAACAGGCAAACCCTGCACGTAGGGGGGAAAAAAAAGGGTGCGGAGACGTGCTGCTGGATGTTGTGCTGTTAGCCGTGTTGCTAACTTCCCTAGGCCCGATCTGGATTTACCACGTGGTTTCTCCTGCTCTTGGCGCGATGCACATCACAGCTGCCCGGCTTCGTGCCAGCCACACCTCAGCCCACATCGGCCATGACAACAACCCGTTTCACGTAAAAAAAACAAAACACAAATCGTACCGAAGCGAGCGGCGCTGCGGGGAGTCACGGGTGGAGGGCAGGCGTCAATGAATGGAGACACCAACCTCGATAACTGTCAAGCTAGGGAGGAGGTGGCTACCGGTCGTTAGCTCGCACGCTCGCATTCGCTAGCTGCGATGTGCTACATCACTTAACTATGGTGCGAAGCTAACCAGGTATAAACACAGAAGCAGCAGCACCGTCAGTGGTGTCGTGACGGACATGAGTCCTGTAACCGGCCACACTGAGTCAGCCACCTCCAGACTCCTCACGCGGTTCAACACCACCACCACCACCACTGCGACAGCTTTCGTTGACATGATGCTTTTACAAGTGATGCTGATGAGAAAGAGCTGTCACCCCCGGGCTTTAAAAGGTGGAAAAACATCCGACCTGTCCCATCCTTTCATCCACCAGTGTCTCGGGACCCCTGCGTGTGGGTCCCCACCGACAAACCGTGTGTCTGACAGCACGTATCTGCAGCTGTCTGGGTAACTAGAGATCTCCACGCTTCACCGCCTAAACGCAGGAGGTTACAGATCACTGGCATCAACTTTACATCGCCATCACATGGTTCCAGGTGTCAAGTTAACAGTGTTCATGTTATACATCTCTTCACACAAAAGACACAGACGAACACGAAGAACACAAGCTCCGCCACTTACTACCAGGCTGCTGACATCAGGGTAACAACACCCGGCTTCGACCCAGCCGGCGATTTGACCTACTGCTACCTACGTAGCCTCCTGTGTCGCTAGCTAGCACGCAGTAGTGGTTGCTAGTAGCATAAATTGCGGCTACCGGCGAAAACAACAACACAGTGAGGCAACACGTCGCATGTCACATGAAACACGCGCGCACATATTATAAAACGCGTATAAACGCAGCCGTGGGAGCTCAACTTGGCAGCACGGCGCAATTAACTTAGTGACCGAACTAGCGAAACTGAAGAAAGAACACCCACGTCGTCTTAGCATGGGATGCTAGCGACGAGCTAGCTGGCTAATCCCCGAAAACACAGCAGGAGCAAGCCCCCACCACCACCACCACAACCCCGCCACCACCAAGTCCTCAGAAAGCAGTGAATAAAAGTCAGGGCAGAAAGGTTTATCTCCACATTTCAGGTCAGACGTACAGACACGTGTCCCCGCGGAGCCTCCGTGTGGCAGCGACTCGCAGGAATCTGTGGGAAAAGCAGCATTTGAACACAGAAGAAGACGCAGGACCGAAGCTTTACCTTCTCTCCTTGAGTCCGCAGAGCCGGACGGACGGAAAATCTTCCCGGAAGCCGGTAGCAAGGTAATTCCGGCAAAATCCCATCACGTGAAACTGTCCCAGTACTGTCGACATGGAAATATTCTCAAGCCTTATCTTTGATTATGTTTCCATGTGAACGACGTGATTAGAGATGTTTGTTTTATTGTAAGAGGACTCAGGGCAAAGAAACTTTACTCCA